ATTTTTCGCTTCTTTTCCATACTAACAAATCACACATAAAAACAATAAGTCAAATCAAAATACTTTTATTGACGGGTGTTACTTTATTTCACAATAGACAGTTTCGCTTCCTTCGCCTTTCCTACGCAGACTAACTCGCAGTTGCGCCGCTAGCCTTTTTATATGCAATTATCACTGCCATCTCGAGGTGATCGGAATACACTAGCTAGAACCAGAACTTTCTCGAACCAACGCGGAAGCTCCAAATATTTGATTACACCTAATGCCACCACTCGCCACTAGATGTCGCTAAGTGTCACAATACACAATAATAATTGAAATGCAAAACAAGCATAAGTTTGCATAGGTCACGCACTTTGCGACTATCCTAGTCTAGAAAAAATCATTATGGCCCGAAGGCTTCAAAGTTTGGAGACCCCTGGACTTAACGAATGAATTGCATAGATGAGCTTTCATGCAGCAGTCAGTTGTTCTGCTACAAAGTCGAGAACGGACTACCCCCGACTACCCCAAAACTTTGAAATGAAAGATATTTGTGAATTCTTAAGAGGCAATGGTTTATACGCTTCGAGAACGGATTGAAATAGTTCAATGAAAATCATCCAGGAAGAAATGAACGTCACAAAAACGTTTCGGAATTAATGAACAAATTTATGGAAACTGGAACTGTTGAATATAAAAAGCATAACCGTTCGGGAGTTGTCAAATATTCGAGCTTCCTCCACGAGTCGACCTCGGCTGGCTTGTGAGTGCTTCGCCGAAACCATTATAAGACGTCGATCGAAGCATCTGAAAGTAAAAAAGGAATTATCGTTTCAGCTCTGAAATTTTTTCCTTGGGAATTGTAAAAGTATATTTTTTCAACTGACTGACTGACAAGAAAAATAGGAAGTATTTCGTTCCAGGGTTGGAGTATGAGACGCTTTATGATGAATCCGTCTTAGTTTTTTAACTCTCGTGAAAACCGGGGAATTTTGCCTGTTGAGTTATTTGTTATGATGACCCAAACACTTCATTGTTTTACTAACACCCAACAAATGTTCCGCTAAACAATAGCTTCTTCAAGCGTGTCAATACTGAGTAAATCAACGTATTCAATAATAATGATAATAATAGGTTCCTGGCACGAGGTGCAGGGCCTGTCGCTACACAGTAAAAATAAAAATCTCAAAGTGAAGAACATTATCTCGATTTAAAGAAATCTTGCTCTCCTATATTCATGAAGAAATATTTTTTTAAACTGAGAAACATATTCTCTCAAGTTGAATTTGAATCATTATTTCAAATGGACTGAATAAACGCTTCTTTTAAGTAAAAAAAAATATTCCACCAAGATTGTGCATACATTTCGATAGAAATAATCACATTAGCTCAAGAGAAGTAAGTATGCATTCTTCAGTCTGAGCAAAATCAATCTCGAAGCAAAACTGTTTTGGGTTTTGAAAGAATGATATGTTTACTTGGAACATTATTTAAATGTCTCCGTATGAATCAAATAAACTCATTTACTTTATCAAAGATGAACTTATGCTTCTGTTTATAAACTCTCCCCCTCATTTGGATGTATTTAGTTACTTGAATCCAAAGTATCTCATCTGTAATATGAACAGCTATGAGTGGTAAGGAAATGAACTAAATAATACATTACATATTATGATTGGTTTATTTGAAGCAATTGCAAATCATAAATATTATCCTGAAAAAGCATGTGATAAAAAACAGAACGTAATAGAGAACTAAATTTTCTTTGCTAATCTTTGCTTAAATATCATATTCCAACCGCACACTTTTGAGAGATCATACATTTATACAAATAACATAAATAAATATTCAATAAGAAAACATATAAAAAAGGGACATATTCTTGACAAATTGCTAATTAACAAATAAAATGAAATCGAAGCCTATAAACAACATTACAACTCAGACAAGAAAATGAATTAATTCATTAGTAATTTTACACAAATGAAGTTTTTGAAACTAGATGCCATTCTGGTAAATAACATTAAAAAAATCACTGTCGTCTATCAAGTTCTGCATCCTGCTTTTGTTTGTCCACAATTGCCGGAACATCACTTGGATTCTGAAACGAAAGAAGAAATCAGCACATCATTCTTAGCCAGTATTTCAAATTTATAGAAAGGTAAAAATATGAAAACAGCAGCCACTTGATCAGAAAAATATATTTTTTTTTAATAAAACACTGTTTAAGTGGGTTTATTTCGTTAACCAGCCCAATTGTTGTTCGCATGCGACTGACAACCCTCAAAATTTTAAACTTGTCAGAGGTCTTATTATTTAACATACGATTCCTAGCAAGTTAAAAGGTGCTTAAAAGTGCTTAAACATTATTTGATCAGAAATAAATAATCAATTCAAAAGACGTACCTCAAATCCCTTCGGAGTAGACAAAAGTCTATACAGAAAAATTGCCTTTCAAAATAATAATTTTCAATAATAGGAATTCAAAGTGTCGTGTGAGTATTATTAGAGGATCAATGAAAAATATCAAATGTTTCATTAGGAAAATGTATCTCATGATCATACAAACATACTTAAAGGAATATGATTCGCTATTTAAATAACAGCATTCACTGTTTCCACGTTTTTGGAAATTCATATTTCATCTCAAGTGAGTTTGGTACTATTTCTACCTATTTCTTACATCCCTAAAGAAAATCTATCAATAAATTTTAAGCTGAGTAGGGTATATTCAATTTGTT